CGTTCCCAAAGACAAAGCTATAAAGAAGTTCGTCATTCGGAACATAGTGGAGGCCGCAGCTGTGAGGGACATTTCTGAAGCGAGTGTCTTCGACGCCTATGTGCTTCCCAAGCTCTATGTGAAGCTACATTACTGTGTGAGTTGTGCTATTCACAGCAAGGTAGTCAGGAACCGTTCTCGGGAAGCCCGGAAGGACCGAACACCTCCACCCAGATTTAGACCTGCCGTGAGTATTTTAAAAGGAGAACCTGGAAGCCAGAAAGTAATAGCTAAAAGCATTTTTCCTCATGTGACACAAGAAGTGTCAAATTAAGGTCTCTAAGGTTAAGCTCTTGAGGCACGTGAGACCCCCCACTAAGACCTTTTCCTAGAGATACCCATAAAATCTTAGAATGGGGAGTAGTAGTCTCTTTATACACCTGTGTGCTTTACATGCATTTGTAATTCAATACATAGTTAGAGTTCTTTGGAGGTGGGGAGGGAGATCTTAAGTTTATGGGTTTTGATTTACTCTTCTGCTTCTCTGTCTTATAGGGTGCCGCCCCACGACCTCCCCCAAAGCCCATGTAAGGAGTTGAGTTCTTGAGGACTGAAGAATAACCATCCTTTGGGAAAAAAATAAAATGGAAATTACACTTAATGTAGCATGTTTAGTGTATCTGTGCCAAATAAGGTGGGGGTTTCTGTGCCTTATTATCAGGTGTTGAAATATGAATTGCCATGTATTTTTTTATTTCTTTTTTTTTTTTTGTAGAGACAGAGTCTCACTTTGTTGCCCTTGGTAGAGTACCGTGACATCACAGAGCTCACAGCAACCTCCAACTCCTGGGCTTAAACGATTCTCTTGTCAGCCTCCCAAGTAGCTGGGACTACAGGTGCCTACCACAACGCCTGGCTATTTTTTGGTTGCAGTTTGGCCAGGGCCGGGGTTGAACCTGCCACCCTTGGTATATGGGGCCGGCGCCCTACTCACTGAGCCACAGGCGCCGCCCTGCTATGTATTTTTTCCTTGGAAAGAAAGGTTGCCTCTGTATATTAAACTTGTGGTCTTATCCTTTGCTTCCAAAATTTGCATAGCTGTGTGAAAAGGGGGAGAGATTAGGTATCTGAATGTTGGATTAATTCAGCCCGGGCAAGGTTAAGTTGGCATCTTAAGGCAGAAATCCTTAAGAGAGTTAAAGGAGAACTAAACTGTTGGCACATTGGGAGGTGACTTTTGACTGACCTGTTCATACACATGGATAGCTTCAAAGCTGTTCAAGATTCATATTCAGATCTTAAACTTTCTAACTTGTAATTGGTTTGCTGGTAAACTGTTGACCCAAGGTTTCTCTTTCTCTAGTGCATTTCCAGAAACTCATGGGGAAAAAAGTTAACAAGGGGTATATATATATTTGTATCTGAAAGATCCACTTCTGCTTGGATTGTTAAGGACCAAATTTGCCAAAGGAATTATGCGCCTTTCCTAAGGCTAACCCAGTAGCATGGAGATTCCTGTCATATATACCTTATGCTGAAAAATGCATTCTTTGTGTCTATATTTAAAGGAGTATGATCACAAGGAAAGGGTAAAATAATTTTAGACCAAGGGGATGCTCCTATTAATTGGAAGACTTTGTACCTCACACCCCAAAAAATCCAGACAGGATCTGCTAACCCTGACTGGGGATCAAGTACGTACCAATGCACTAATTTCACCAGGCTGAATATAATTAGTTTCAAATGGTACATTGGTGCCAGACATAGTGGCTCGTGCCTATAATATCAGTCTTGTATTTTTTATTTATTTGAGACAGTCTCACTTGGTTGCCCTTTGGTACAGTACCATGGCATCATAGCTCACAGCAACCTCCAACTCTGGGCTCAAGTGATTCTCTTAACCAGGCGTCCTCAAACTGCAACCTGCCCAGGACATTTATCCAGCCTGCCAGGTGTTTTTGCCACTGCTGCCTGTCCTTAGCAGCCGACTCGTCCTGGGGCCCCAGTCTAGCCCTCCAACGGTCTGAGAGACAGTGAGCCCCCCCGCCCCATTTAAAAAGTTTGAGGACCCCTGCCTCAGCCTCTCAAGTAGCTGGGATTACAGGCTCCCAGCTATTTTTGTTGTTGAGACAGGTGCCGTGCCATTACATCTCACAGCAACCTCAAACTCTTAGGCTCAAGCAGTTCTCTTGCCTCAGTTTCCCAAGTAGCTGGAACCACAGGCGCCTGCCACAGCCAGCTGTTTTTGTTGCAGTTGTTGTTTAGCTGGCCCTGGCCAGGTTCAAACCCACCACCTTGGTTGTATGTGCCTGGTTCTGTAACCACTGTGCTACCAGTGCTGAGCCAGTTCCTAACTAGAATGGGGTCTCAACTTGCTCAGGCTATTTTCAAACCCATGAGCTCAGGCAATCCACCCACCTCTGCCTTCCAGCTTGGTAGGATTATGGGCGACAGCCACCTTGCCCTGCCCTCTACAAGAAATTTTTAAAAACAGGTTGGGCGCTGGTGCTCACGCCTGTAATCCTAGCACTGGGAGGTTGAGGTGGGTGGATTGCCTGAGCCAAAACAAGACCCCTGTCTCTTAAAAAACCTAGGTGCTCGGTGGTGCCTGTGGTTCAAAAGGGTAGGGCACCAGTCCCATATGCTGGAGATGGCGGGTTCAAACCCAGCCCTGGCCAAAAACTGAAAGAAAAAAAAAAAAACCCAGGTGTTCCTGAGGCTGAGGTAAGAGAATTGCATAAGCCTAAGTTTGAGGTTTCTGTGATACCACTGCACTCTCCTGGAGGGCAACAAAGTGAGACTGTATTTGAGACAGAGCCTCAAGCTGTCACCCTGGGTAGAGTGCTGTGGCATCACAGCTCACAGCAACCTCCAACTCCTGGG